GAGCCAAAGTATTTGTGCAGTTTACTTATAATTTGTAAAATTTCATTTGATAATTTCAGCGTTTTTGTTTTCATTAAAAATAAACACAGATAGAAAATTTTACACGTAACCGTTAATTAAAATTCTGTTAATTTTTAGTTCCTAGTATTTGGTTTTATTTCTTACTTTAATTCAGAAATAACCATTATAAATTTTGTATACCTGATTAAAAATATATATTTTTTTATATCAAATCCAAACTTAATGATCCAATCTCAACAGATGTCCACCTAAAACTAGTTGTGTTTGAGAATTTGTAATCTTTTATTCTGTGAAAGGTAATTGCTTAAAGGGTATATGAATTATATATGTTATATAACATCTGTATGTATATATACCTTCTTTTTTAGTATTTTTAAAAAGACGCACAAAAGCAAGAACTTTTCTGTATTTGAGAAGTATTTAGATTTTTGAAAAATTAATAGTCGTGGACGCGGATCAAGTTAATACCAACTTCCGGTTCGTTTTCGTTTCTACAGAAGGTGATAAAGTAGCAGTTTCTTCTTCGTTGCGTGAAAAATGTCAATTTGTTACACCAAGTGAAATCTCGATAGTGTGCTAATTTGCAGCAAAGTTTTAATATAGGGTGTGTCACATACATATTAAATTGGATTATGAACCTTGAATAACTTTGAAAAACTATCTTCTATATTCGACATATTTATACCTTGAACAGGAGATATTAAGAGAGTTTTTGTTGAAGAAACTATACATTTGTAGTTTCATTCACAGTGTTATATAGTTGGCTGTCTTCTTGAAAACAGTAATTGTTTTACACACTTGATGCAGATAAGAGCCATCATTGATCGATATCGGTTTTCAGTTTTTTTTTGTGTATGTGGCCAAATGCAAACACCGGATCAAACAGTCACTTTGTGGTCATGAAATGGCATTTTACTGATCTTGAAAGGATTTTTTTCTCAAATAACGGGTTAGATGATATGCACAAGTGGGCTGTTTCGGTATAATGTCGATGTGTGGCTATAATTATATTGAATTGATGGTTGTAAGGTTTGTTCAGAGTTGACTTAATATTTGCTGTTGACTTCATTTCTCAGTTAACACAGTTCTTAACTTAAATGTGAGAATATGTCATTAAAAAATTTAGTAGAGATGTAAGACTAAATATATTTCATCATTCCATACTGTTTGATTTATTTTAAATTTTTTCAAAACCCTTGCGTATACAAGTATTGTAAAAAAATGACTTTCTTCTAAAACTTTACCACTTTAAAGAAACTTACAAAGAAAAAGCCAGCATTAAGTGTTAACTCAATCGATAGTTTTTCTCTAAACTATGGTTTTTTCACACCATGTTAATTATATTTAAAATTCCCAGTTTTTACATCTTTCATTCTTCATTCTCTTCAGTGTTAAATGATTTAGCTACTTTTTGTCATCGCTTCGCTTTTCATGGCCTCATTCATCATTCTGGGCAAGGCAGTATACGGGGTTAATGCCGTAGTACGGTAGTCAATTCCCACAACATTAATTCCATTAACATTAATTGCATTCAATTGACACTGACAGCTAAATCATTAGCATAAGCTACATACCTACTCACAGAGTGTTAAGAATTGTGGCTAAGCGAAAGTATTTATTAACAACAATTCTACGAACAAAAAAAGTTACCAGTGTATTATATATGTCAATTGGTCTTTGTGATATGAGCGTGTAAATGAATATACTTGTATGATATGCAGTAGATAAGTAGACAAATATTATATATGTATGAGTAGATATGAGCTCTTATGGTAGATAAGCAAATTATATTTTCTTCGACACCTACTTTAAAGCAGTTCTTTTTTAATTCATTCAAATAGGAAATAAAATTAAATGCACAATCTGGAATTACTTCCTTTCATGCCTGATAGCGCGAAGAAAATTTTATTGCCACACTTGTACTGCATTGTTAAGTGCACTCTGAACGCTTTCACAAGCAGCCAACTTCTTGACATACTTTGATAGCGCAACAGCTTGATGAATTGCATTTGATTGCCGCTATCAGCTGGATTAGTAAATAACTGGAGCAAGCGGTGATTAGAATGTCTTTCACAATTGCATTTTTTTTTTTAACTATTTCTATACATATTACTCTAGTAATAGTTTGATATTACTCAAGTAGTTGATAAAAAAATAGGTAAACAATATAATATAAACGGGGTACGCCATCTTTTACTTTCGTGTGAAAAATTTAATAATTTTGACATTTTCTAACCGATTGTGTTAAGTAGCATTCAGCATAATTTCACCCCTGAATCGCTTTACACTAGAGCAGCGATTTTAAGTTGTAATTTTTCGCATTGAAAATCTTCGTTGAAATAGAAATCATAATTTGATAAGCGTTGAAGCCTATTCTAAACTAATTGGCGATGTCAAAAACCAAAATTTGGGTTGGTTTTGGGGAGCAGAAGAGCCATCCACGATACATGAAAAGTTATTATATATTAAAGTTATTGTCTAAAAGGTGACTGTTCGGACCGGAATAGACGTCGAAATCATCATTGGGCCAATTACTCGTTTCAACAAGATGGCGATAAATAACGAATTTCGAATCAAACTATTCAGTTTCTGTAGCAAACTTCAATGGACACCTGTTGTAACAGAAAGGTTATATTGAATGTTTACTCAGGTTTCTAGTTGCGACTTCTTCTGACTTATTTTTGTGGATTTATTTGGAAAGCAAAATATAAATCCAGTAATCCGCCTACTATTGATGAACTCTAGGCAAATATTCGTGCCAAAATCTTCGCCCTAAAGCCCAAGATGCACGAAAAATAATGTAGAACCTAAAAAAAAAAAACATCCGAATTGATGTATTCAGAAAATAACCCACCATTTTTTAAAGGACAAAATAAAATGTTTAAAGTTAAAGTTTCTCAAAATATAAGATGGTTATTGCTTTCAAAATTATTCAATATTTATATACCGTCAAAATATATTGAGCACCCTGTATGTGAAATGTAAAATTTTAATTTTATATCTAAATATTTTTATCTAAGTATCCAGTTTTATATATGTATGTATATATGTGTATATAATATTATGTATATCAATATAAGTCGGTAAAAATAATAAAGTTTAGTTAAGTTAAGTTGGGTAGGAGCGATTTATGAGATATATGTCAGCTACAAATGCCACAAATTGTGCTTTTATTGTTTAAAATGAAATCAAAGCAACGTGATGATTGTTATGTTCAAATTTTTCTTTTCTCTATATGAACTCACTCACCGACATTGAACTTGAAATATTTTCATTCATATCACAACTAACCTAAAGCAATGCGCATCAAATCCGGTACACTTGTGTTCACCACGGTGCAGATGAGGTTGAGTTGGCTTAAAAAATAGATTAAACAATACAACCCGTAAAAGCTTACATTTTATGTCGATCTTTAAAAAAAAAACAGCAGGTTGCTTTGGAGGTCACCTTTTGTTAACTACGCATGCGTAAAAAACTCACACGAAGCGGAAAGCGCAAATTTCTATAATGCATGATAAACTAATATTTTTGGAATACTTTATATTCAGTACCACAATATAATAATAGAAATTACAAATTCATAATAATTAATATGCTGAAAAGTACATAAAAGCATAGTCGTACTTGTTGAGTTATGAATAATGATGTGAGTTCAATGACATCCTTTGTTTAGGTACGAGTAATACATAATTGGAGTAAATAGATTTATGTATTACAATTACCAAAAGCTCTTCTACCTCCACTCAAAAATTCGCATTTTCAAAGGCCGAAATGTTTTGAAAAATATTTGTATTACGACATGTTTTTTAAATAACTAGTAACGGTACTCGGTATCAACTTCGAATATTTAGAACTGCATTCTGAGTCAACCCACAATTTTCTGAACAAACTTATTCGTAGTAAATACTATAACGAATGTCATTGTACATAGTTAGTCTCTTCCAAACAAGCTATTTTTTCTTGCCTATCAATGGTTATAAATTATGACTTAAGGGGTAATACCCATTTGCAAGTTAGAAAAATTGCGATCTCCAAAAGGACCAGTATGAAGATTTTGCTGCTTCAAATTACCTCAAATTTAAAAACCAAAAAAAAAAAACAATTTTTTTATTACTATAGATGAATACAAGTTATGTTCGAAGGACTAGTCAATATTTTGATTGACTGACTTAAAAATTAAAATTATTACTAAAAATCATATTCCTTCGAACATTACCTATTTTGTAGGCATCACCTAAATCGATAGATCCAGCCGTTTTGGAGAAATTTTCCTCACCATCTCCGAAAACAGCGTTTAAAGTATTGGGATCCTATTACACTAATTTGAAAAATTCTTACTAATACACTTATATCTCCGAAACTATTTGTGGGATCAACTTCATATTTAAAAGGTTTTAATAAATTAATCGAAAATTTATTGAGTGAGTTATTTGGTAAACACAAATATTTTTGAACGCAGTTTTCGACATGTTTCCAAAGTTTTGATTGTCAGCAGAGGTAAATGAGAAACTGGTATGAAACAGGTAAGATTACGTCGATCTCACGGTTCTCAAAGAAAGCATTTTAACATAAATACTTTAGTAATGATTTTTTATAGTAAAAAGGTATTAATGATACCCAAATATAGATATAAATCGTTCGGTTGATTCAATTAAATAATACAGAGTATGTGAACAACACCCTTAAATGGTATAACCGTTTATCTTTATAACCGTATTAGATTATGCCAGTTTATATGAGTTATACCAGTTGTTTGTTCGATTCAAGTTTAATGATTTGAAGGCAGCGAACGTCTGATATTATATAAAAATTTCGGGAGGCTTTTGAAATGTTTTCAATTGCATTTTTTTCATCATACTAAAACAGTTCTGAAGTGATCCCACACGCCCTGTATTCAAATATATTCTCATAGACAATAATGTCGTTGAATATTGAAGTTCTTTAGATATTAATTTGAAATGAATTTTCTTTATTTTTAGCATTCCACGTCAAAATCAGACAACGCGTAGCATCATGACCTTCTACTGGTGGTCACATTGGTTTTGGATAACAACATTGAGTAGTGAGTAATCTTCAAATATATGTATAAAAAAATACCAAACTCAATTCTATCCGTAATATCTCTAGCTATCCTTCTGAGCATAACATTCGTACACACATATCCAAGCCAAGAGATTTCCTTAGAGTACAATCAAAACAGTAAATCCGTGAAAGCGGTGACAAAACTACACCAGACGACAACGAGTTTAGAGTGGTCCACAACTACACCAGCCACACTAGTGACTACGCCTAACAAAGACACAGGATCAGAGGCAGTTGTGGCATCAATAACACAACAAAAACTTAATGACAATGCCAGCAGTACAGATAAAGAGCTGGTCTCTGAAGATCTAGACGCAAAACCAGTGCCGTCTGCTTATAGTGAGGTAGAGGACACTTCAGAGCACGAACAAGAAAACATTGTAGAAAATGAAGACAGACCAACAGCTGAGGAGGGAGAGTATAAAAGATCTGCAGAAAGTTACAATAAAACCATAGAAAACACAAAAGAGCTTGCGAATGATGAAAGCGTAGAGGAACCACAAGTCGCGGCGGTGGTGGCTGAGCAGAGATCAGCCTCTATTGAGCAAAGTAGACAAAAATTGAACCGCGCTGATGATGAGCTGAGCAACTATACCAACAGCAGTCGGAAACGCGATGAGACAAGGTGATTTTTTTTAAGAAAAAAGTTTCAATACTATAAAAATTACAATATTTTTACTAATTTTGCAGAGGCAACGCAACCTGTGTGAATTGTAATGCGGCAGGGCACGAGCCTAATAGCACCGCGGAAGCCACACGTTCTCTCGAAGCGCCAAAACTAATGGCTAACAACTCGACTGCAACAGCGGTCAACACGAACTCGCGCATAGACTCTCTGCACTCCGACACACTGGAGTGGCTGAACGCAGTGCAAGTAGCCGCGGCGCTTCCAGTGCCCAAACTGCTCACCAACGCTGCACAATCGACCGAAATCGATCGTGAAGTAGTTACGGTGTCAACAGAATCACCTGCAAACGACGCGGCTGTGGCGGCTACGACACAGCAACGCATACCCTTTACACTGGAGAATGCCAATAAAGAGGACGAACTGCGACGTGCCGAAAACGAACATCGTTCACGCAAATCGAAAGTGCTCTCAGCCGAGTACAAACACATCAATCGCTACATCAATTACTCTTCGGACAGCAAAAGTTTGCTGACGCGTAGCGCCGCCACAACGCCCAATGATTTCGGTGGCGTTGAAGAGGGCAACATTTCCTCGGAAGCGCTCTCGATACAGGTGCGTGTTACAATACTCTTTCTTTCAGAACGTTCTAACTAATTGCCGTTATTTGCAGCGCACATACTTCTTGGATGCCGGCGCGATCTCAGCTATCTGCTTCACCATATTCGGTGTTTGTTGTACGGTCGGCACAATTGGCATAGTGCTCTATCGGCGTAGATATGTTAATAAGCCGCAGGCGCTGAGCGAGCCCGACTCGAGTGTCTATATCGATGATAGCACGATGCGTGTAAGTGTAAGGAATCGTTTACAGAGGCAATGAGCTTTTAATGGCTGCGTTAATAAAGTTAATTTCTTTTGACGATTTACAGGATAATTCCGATGAGATGTACAGTTTGGACAATGACTCCTTTCTCAATTCACTGGAGGCGATGACAATACAAAACTACTGGACGGACACCGTTAAACATACAAAGCTTTAATTTCCTTTAAAAAAACAGAAACAAAAACAAATACATACATATACATACAAGTATATATACAACTTAGACGTAACGGCGTGCACACGTACATACATATATAAATAATTGTCACATGTGTGCGTGCGTATACAATATAAATATTAGTGAATTAGTTTAAAATAATAGCATGCATATTTGAAGAATTATAATTAAATTAATGAGCGTCTACTAAACTCAAATTAACATAATCATTAAGTTTACATATTTAGCTGTTAAAATTGAGATTGACATTGGAATTTTATATATATTTACATGTTACTTAAACGCGTGTTTTACCGTTGCGCACTGAGTGTGATTTGCCTGCAAGTCTCAGCAGTGTGTTAAAGCGTTGAGTGGAGCGTTAATATTAGTTACTAATTAGTTGTTTATTGTTTGTAGAGATATTTGTTAAAAATTATTTTTAATTAAATTAATTTTTTGTTTAATTTTTTTAATTAAATTAATTTTTTATTAAAAGCTATATATAAAAAGTCGTATATAAAAGTTGTTTAAATAGTTTTTTTCCAAAAGATTTACTTTTTATAAAATTTTTTTTTTAATAATTAATAAAATAAACATGTAAAAATTAAGTTTTCCAGTTAAAAATGGCTTTTTGTTTTTGATATAACTGCAATAAAGAACTTAAAAAAAAATTTTAATTTTTGATTTTTTTTAATTTTGCAAAAAAAATTTTTTTTGTAATTAAATTTAGTTTAACATAAAATTAATTATTATTATTTATTTGATTTTTAAATTATTTTTTGGGTTGAAATAAGTGTATGCTTTGTTTTAATAACATTTAAAATAACTAAAAAACAATAATTTTGGATTTTAGATTCTTTATAATTTCGCAAAAAAAAAAATATTTTTGTAATTAAATTTAATATTATAAAAAACTATTCATTCTTATTAAAAATTATTATTTAATATTTATTAATTAATTATTTTTTATTTTTTAATGTGTTTTTTTTTGATAAAAATAAGTGCATGTTTATTTAAATAATATTTAAAATAACTAAAAAAAATTGTACAAATTTATATTATTTAAATTTTTTTTTATTTTATCGTTTTTAATTGTATTTTGTATAGTTTTCTCAAAAAAATAATTAAAAATTTTTTTGCATACAAACTTAAATTTTAAATTCTCCTAATTCCGAAATCACCTTAACTTCTAGTTTATCAAAAAAAATGAAAACACAATTATAAAAGTAGGAAACTTTGGTAATTTCTTATAAAACTAGTAGTTAATTACTACCTAGAAGCTTGTGACCCTATATATATGAGTTTTTTCGTGGCGTATAAAAAAAAATCGATTACTGATCTTCAAATTCTACAAAAAAATTTATCGAAGTGTCTATACATTTGCTAAGTGATTTAATGCGTAAAATCTGATTTGGTTTTCATTTGTACAAGCTTTAGTTTCATAACTAAAATTTATGTTTTATCAATTATTCTTATTTATATTGTTTTTAAATTTTTATTTTGAATGTTCAAATGTATGTGTACGTTCCTTATTATTATACGCTACACAAAAGTGTATTGGTATACCGTTCGTTAATTCTTCATCAGAATCATTCCTTCCAAATTCTAGAACAAAGCAAAAAAAAAAAAACAAGCAAAAAAATAATAAAAAAATATAAACAGAAAACATATATTAAGTACTGTTAACATTTTAAGTATATAACAGCATTGACTTAAGCAAACATCTAGTATAATGAGATAAGCACTTACCTATTAATACAAAAAATTTAAATAATATATATGGATTTCTTTAACAAATAAATAATATCGAAATACAATTTTTGATTTAAATTAATTTTTCGAGAAGTGAATAATTATGATTGCAAAACGAAAAAAAAAGTTAGGCAAATATATTTAAAATTCAGATAAAAATTAAAAAGAATATTGTGAGTTAGTGAAGAGGCCTACCGAGTGATTATACTGCATGAAGAGGGAAGAGTTAAGAGATTGTCCAAAATTTTTTATTTGTATTTATTTTGTGAATATTTTTGCAATATTTCGGCACCTTTTTTGAATAAATAGCTTGATATTTTGCTTTTGGTAATTTTAAAATTTTTTGTTTTTTGCCGAGCTTGCGACACTGTGCGACTCAACTCAGTTTATTTCAAAACTAAAAAATAACTATTAATACAATTTGTAAAATGTATAGTTTTAATAACTTTATGCATTAAATATTTTGTTGTAAACTTCTACAATTTTATATATATAAACATTTAATTTTTTTTTACCTTAAAAGTATACTATTTATTTAGTACAATCTGCTCACGATTGATGCACATATAATTTTTTCGACACAAAGCCTTCTGGGTAATTTTCTGTTGATTTACAAATTGTTAATATTTTTCCTTTCATTTCGCATCGTCGGCACATAAACACGTTTTAATTATCGAAGAACTCATTAAAATTTTGATCTATTGACAAAATGGCGGTTTTCCTAAATAAAGTGGTTTTTTGTGAAAATATTTACTCTTAACAGCGATTTAAAAAATCGAAATTGTGAAGGAAAATTTTATTCCTTCGATCATTATCTGACAAATATAAGCCTATAATACCTGAGAAGGTCGTATAAAAATTTCAAGTCGATCGGGGGAGTTATTTCGTCTCTGAAAACAGCGTTTCGGGAAAAACACGTTAGGTGTATTCACGGGACACACTTCTACAATTGTGGCAGTATTACTGCATCATTTTTTTCCGTATCATTTCTCGAGATGAATCTCACTTCAATCTGATTATAAGACTATTTATTCTAACCAAAAGTATTGTATATTGTAGAAAGCAAGGCGAGTGGAATAAAATTAAAATGAGAGCTTTAAACTGCGGAACATTTGTCTTGTTTTTTGAGATAATGTCCAGTAAGTTTTAGGTAGGCCAGTATATAATAAAACTTTCACAAAGTGCCCTCTAGTACCTCACCGATTGTAAAGTTTTTACTTTACTGATATTGTGTCAAGGACAGTACCAAAATAAGTTACTGACTTCATTTCTCTACCGCTGACTCAACTAGGAAAGTTATGAATACTTCTTGAGATTCGACTCTGCTCAAATAACGGGTTGTATATTTCCTCCTGTTTCTCCTCCAAAGAGCATAAGGCCATAACGGGTTATGACGCTGTATAATTTGTATCGAATGTATGAAGGCTTTCTCTATATCTACAAGTATGTTCTCCGGAATTTCGTTAGTTCAAGAAGTGTCTAAGTATCTAAGTGTCTCATATTAAATATAAAAGCATCATTTTCTCCAAAATTAATTATTAATTAAGTACATATATATATTTATTATTGTAAGCAATAGTCGTCGCTACATATGTACAATATAAAACATGATGCGATTTTTTTGTTCAAATGGGTACAACTATATAATACCACAATTACTTTGTTGTACAGTTAAATTATTGATTTTTTTTTTTTGAATTTTTGTTTTGCCGATATTTTTTAAGCAGCGTCATTCGAACTTCCGTTTGTTTCATTACTCTGTTGTGATAATTGTGAGTTGCGGCTTTCAAGTGATATTTTACTCTTGCGCCTACGCACCGATTCCATGGACTGTGTGCGTTTCTTCAGTGACAATTCTGCCTCGTTCATTACGCGACAATTCTCGACAAAACCAACCAAAGCGGGACTATTTAGGCTGTTTGCCACAACCAAGGCTTCGTCGAGTATCTCTTTCGCTCGTTCCACTTTATGAAGTACCGCATGCGATTTACAAATCAATATGGTGCTTAAGAAACGCCAAATGTTGCTATTACAATTTTTAGACTCTACAAAAATATAAGTAACATGAAACGGGTAAGACTGTTCTATTGCACGAAGTATAGTAGAGGGTAGATGTAATACACACCTTCGATTGCTTTGCGCGCCACCGAGCAGCACTCATCAAATCGACTCTGCCCCAAATGACTTCGTGCGATTTCGTGCAGGAGATAACACTTCTCGATCGAGTATTTCGCGAAGTGTATGCGTTTCTCCAAACGTGCTAAATATTTTCTAGATAAACGGGAGAACAAATTTTATTTTGAGTATTACGTATTAATGCATAAAAGAGTATGAGTTGATCCCTTGAAAAACTCGAAAGAAAATATCGAAAAATATTTTTAAATAATATATCAAATTCCAAAGTACAAGTATTATAGGTTAGAGTTTATACCTATCCCTTATATATATGGGTGTTCCCATATCAAACTCACTTATAAGCAATCAGTGTATAATCGGTGGCATCGGGCTCCGTATATGTGGACTTATCGCCGAATACAAAGCTGACTGAACGATCTTTATTTTTGTCGGTGGGTATACGTAGTAGTTGCATTAAACTCATATTTTTCTTGCTCTCAGTTGCAGAACTTCCTTCATTTGGTTTAATATAGCGATCAGTGTAGGCTAGCGCTAAAGTATTATAAACTTCGTTGAGAAATTCAAATTTCCATGGCATGACACGATGGGTCTTCAACACGACATAGTCGCCCATAACTTCCTCGACATATTTACTGAGTTTCTATAAATTCAACAAAAAACAAATGAAATAAATATAAAATATGAAATAAATATGTATTGTAATAAACTCACAGCAATTTTTCCCAAAGCCCGCAATTGTCGTATCGTACGCAATATTGTCAACATATTACGACGCGTCTGGTACTGTATATGATTCAAGTGCGCCTGTCGATGCTTCTCCCACACCTCCTTATCCGGACACTTACGCATTTGCTCATTATAAAGTGGACTGCGGGCTTGCAACATTTTCTAAAAACATATAGAGGAAGAAATTCATTATTGGTGTTTAAATAATAACGGGATGAAGTGGTTTTAAGCCTCCTGGAAAAGTCTTCACTTCAAATAATTATTTTTAGCGTGGTTGTATTATGGCTTGAAGAAAACAGTTAAAGCCTTAGAGAGGTAAAAGATTAGGTTAGGTAAGTGTGGTAGGCTCCTAAACCACGCATAGACAGGTTTGGTCCTTAGCGGTGTCAGATGGAGTGCCGTTACGTAGTTCATGAGAAGTAATCATCCTTCAGGATGCAAGAGTTTGGCGCGAATTTCAATAGGTTCTGCGGCCGATTGATACCTCTTCCAGTGTCTCATACCGTGTGGCCCCCAAATGTTTGAAGCATTGCTTTGCTAGCGCGGGACAAGTGCAACGGGTAAAATACACTTAAGTATATTTTTAGTTCTAGAGAGACTGCTACTAAAAAGCAGCAGAGTTGCCAAGGAGAAACAAAGTATAGTCAAATGGAAAGAACGGATTTGACCTGATTAGCGCTAAACAGCTAGATTAAAATACTATTAAGTACAGATATAGCCATGATATCCCAGACCAGCAAATCGCTTCGATATACTTGACTACAGCTACATTTTTGATATAAAGCTCTCATAGATAGGTTCTCTGAAATTCAACTGATCGACCGAATATTTTAGATTCGATTGCGAAAGCTGGTATCCTGAAATTGTTCCAGTTCTAATGAGCGTCATCGAAGTTTTTGAAGATTCAAGTCGTATGTGAATCAGTTTTGGGCTTTAAGTTGTCTTTTTTGAGTTGTGCTGTTTTCTACCGGATATATTGTAACCATCCTGCGCGATGTCCTCGAGGATACGGCATGCTTTTTAAACATTTTTTAGCAGCTCTTTCATGTTAAATCGAAACCTCTATGCTTCACCTAATGAACTAAACACGATCGGCTGCAAGCTATTGAGGTAGTCATGAACTTAATTCCTTGAAACCTCCAACGCATCTTTTTTGAACACTACAAATATTATATAACATTAATTTATCATACCAAAAACTTCTTCAGCACATCATATTTGGTGTTGGTCAGATGACGCAGAAAGGGCGTGGAAACTTTGCATTGCGGCAATAATAAATTGCCATTATCTCGTAGATCCTTCAAAAACAGCACATCGATCCAACTTTTATTGTAATATATTTGATTGAAGACCTTGAAGGCGCGTTCCCGTCTAGCAATCTCGCGTGGCGACAACAACAATTCCTATAGTTTGTTAGAAATATTATATCATTTCTCTAGAATCCGTTTCATTTCCTACCTCCTTCTCGAGTATGCTGAGCACATCGCATTTACCCTGTTCTCGCAATATCTTCCACAAAGGACGTGGATCAACGTACTTCTCCTTCTCCAACTGTTCCAATACTTTGGCAAAAATCTTCTCATTTCTTAATATGAAGGGGCCCAGAGTTTCACCGATGGAGTCCTTGAAATTTTCGTCGACCACAATTAAACGATTCTGAAACGCTGACACCTTCTTGCCATAGAACTTGTGTGTGTTGTCGTGTAACTCAACTTTGCAGTTCTCGAATTGATTCAGCTCGTACAAGGCGTCACAAATCTCCAGATTTATCGGTGCATTATTCGGTTCAATGGCTGCGAAGAGAATCGGGAGAGTTGTTCTTTATTTGTTAGGTGATTATACGTGTAGCATGAATATACCTCCAGCTGCCAGGCCGTCCTCCAGCGCGCCCTGCGTTTGCGCGATATTACGCTTACACTGACTGCGGAAGTAAAGCGCACGCGAATCATCGTTCTTCAGCTCCAACGATTTGTCATAATACTTCGCCGCTATGTCCAATTGTTGTTTGTGTGTGTAAAAGAGACCCCAATCGCGATATATCAACT